CAGTTCTTCCAGCAGTCCACACTTTCTCTGCTCTCTTTTTCTCATCATCTTCTCCTTCTTTCCCATCGCCCGGCTTGCCACAGGTTTGTCTGCTGTGTCTAAAAGTAGCAGCAGCAGCAACCCAGACTGGCAGCAGCTCATTGGATCATTTGGATCACGTGCAGCCTGGAGCCGGACGCTCCGGAGGGCTTTACCGTATTAACAGGAGAAGCGAGCAAGTGAAGTTAGACAGTCTCGTCAGACAACATGCGGTAAATTATAAACGTTGTAAATCAGGTTGGGTCCGGATTCGGACCGCAGCCGCTCATAACGAGTCCAGAACTTCCAGAGTCCAGAACCGTTCAGTGCTCGTCTGGAACACGTCAGATACATTGATATACGTTGGAGAGAAGTTCCTGATAAGTCATGCAGAAGTTATGCACAAGTTACTCAGAGGTTTAGAATAAGTTGGACGCCACGACTGATGAGGAACTGACACTGAACGTATGTCAACCATCAGATAACTGACCTGGAACTGACGGCCCACGGATGGCAGACGCTGCAATTTTCTCGCCATATATCAGCATACTTCAGCGTGTTTCAATGTGCTAACTTAAAAAAAACTAAGCAATAACTTATCCTAAGTTTGCCAGCGTTTTTGCTTTTCATGTATGGGCACACTCTGGCTAAATCGTCGAAGTGTTCAGAGCTGCAATCATTATTACAGATTTTATTTGTCCTGTAACCTAATAAGTTTCTGTTTTATTTTATCTTACGTTTTTCTATTCAAAGAAGCTGGAAAGAATTTTATCATATTTTCAGCATATAAAATGAAATAAAAATCCTTTATGTAATGAAAATATCCTCAACTTATTATATTTTTTTTACATTTTAGATTAGATTAGATGAGCTTTATTGATCTCACAGCGGAGAAATTCACTTGTCACATATTGGCATAGAAGTTTTTAAACCTGTTCTTTGCTTTTATCAATGTTGGACCAAATTTCTCTCCATACTCCGTCTGAATGGCGGCCCTCTGACCTTCTGTGGTCCACAGGTGGGATTCCACAGGGGAACCCGAGGCGGGGCGCCCCAGGCGCTGCCGGCGGCGGTGTGGGGGGGTTCGGAGGCGGGGACGGCTCAGAGGGTGGAGCTGAGAGGATTTACGAGACGCACCTGCAGCAACAGATCATTCTGGCCCTACGGAGGCTCAGAGAGGACATGAGGAGCGTGATGGACAGGCTGGAGGCGGTGGAGAGGCTCGCTGCCACTCATGTGGGTTTGCAGAATCCAGACTAAGGTTCTGTTCAGTGTTTGATTGTTCTGTGAACTGATCTGTGTTTGTTTGACCCCCACAGGGCTCAGAATGGAGGCCCTGCCTGCGGTGTTCAGATGCTGAGGTGAGGAGCTACGAGGCGGCTGATCTGTCAGACCAGACAGCGGCCTATAGTCAATACGCATGCNCTTTGAGCACCATTTCACTTTTCTTTCACCAGTTCACCACAGTTCTTCCAGCAGTCCACACTTTCTCTGCTCTCTTTCTTGGCTAATTTGGATCACGTGCAGGCTGAAGCCGGATGCTCCGGAGAGCTTTACCGTATTAACAGGAGAAGCGAGCAATTGAAGTTAGACACTGCCATCGGACAACATGCGGTAAATTATAAATATTGTAAATCAGGTTGGGTCCGGATCCGGACCGCTGCCGCTAATCCATGACTTCTGGTCTAGAGTATTCATAACGAGTCCAGAACTTCTGTCCAACGGCAGCCTAACTTCTGCATAACGCACGGCAGCGTAATGCCCAGGAAATAATGACCAAGCCAGTGTCCTGAAGGGGGCAGCGATGCGCCCGGATGTGACCGGTCTGCATAAAAAGATGTCTTTGATCGCAGTATAAACATAGCTGCTGTTTACCACCCGCCCCAAAAAAAAGGAAAAGAAAGAAAGAAGGTTTTTAGTGGCAGCAGATTTAGCTTAATGTCTGCTAGGAAGTTTGTTGGTGGCGGGCGTGAACGCAGGGAGGATCCATCACTCTCTGAACTGACGGTTTCCTCCTGTGAACCCCCTTTATACCAAAACGCTGCCAATGCGCCATTATACAGTAGCTGGACGTTAGAAACACGTTCAGCGCTCGTCTGGAACACGTCAGATACGTTGATATGCGTTGGAGAGAAGTTCTTGATAAGTTGCGCAGAAGTTATGCACAAGTTACTCAGAGGTTTAGAATAAGCTAGACGCAACTGACGGCCCACGGATGGCAGACACTGGAATGTTCTCGCCATATATCAACGTACTTCAGCGTGTTTCAGCGTGCTCATAACTTATACAAAACTAAGCCATAACTTATCCTATGTTTGCCAGCATTTTTGCCAAATTCTTCATATATGGGCACTCTGGCTAAGTCGTCAAGGTGTGACAACGCCATAAATTAGAGCTGCAATCATTATTACAGATTTTATTTGTCCTGTAACCTAATAAGTTTCTGCTTTATTTTATCTTATGTTTTTCTATTCAGTCAGTGTTTATTACAGCTGGAAAGAATTTTATCAGATTTTCAGCATGTAAAATGAAAAAAAAAATCCTTTATGTAATAAAAAGATCCTCAACTTTAAAAAAAGTTATTAATATTTTTTTTTTTTTTAAATTTTAAACCTGTTCTTTGCTGTTATCAATGTTGGACCAAATTTCTCTCCATACTCCGTCTGAATGGCGGCCCTCTGACCTTCTGTG